CAGTGGCCAGTTTAGTCAGGCCAGGCCTCCCCTAAGTCTCCCTCATCAGTCTTCTGGGGTTAGGAGAGGTTCAACTTTATTCATCGAAGCTTCTGGTTCTTTATCTTTAATTCTAGCAACATCTAGATCCTATTACAGCCTATATTGTCTCTCAAAGTACCTGAGGATTTTTCTCCACTTACGAGCATACATCCTTATCGATCTGCTCTCTTGGGGGCCCCCTATTGAATGGAATCAAGTTTGTGTGTCTCGCATATGCTACTGATTACTCCAAAAGTAATCCATAGTCGGCTGACCCTCCTGAACGGGGGTGGCACTGGTGGTAACGTATTGATAGTAATATCCTGAAACGCTCTCTGTCGTGCCTATCTAGTGTTTGGAGTTGGTGTCTCAGTCCTATCATACTCTGTTATCACCAAAACTGGTCACAGCGATGTTGTTCAGCTGGTAAGGACACCTGTGATCTTGGGCTCCGCTGAAGGGAAAAAAACGATGTGATTCCCATCCTTAGTAAAGGAGTATGTGTTTTTGAATTCATCATACTGACTTCTACGATCAAACGACCACAGTCTCCCCAACAATAGGTGGCAAATATGGGTACCAAGTCACACAACCTGATCCTGCAGCAAGCTCCTATTTGAAAACTTCACTTGGCACCTCCGGTCAATGCTGGTCTTGTTCTTCTTCATTCACATCAGAGAATATGACTGGGAGTGCTTTTGAGTGATGATGCTCAATTTCTCCATTTCTCCATTTCTCCATCATCGTGTAGAGGTCTCGTTCTTATTGCTCTCTCCATCGATGATGAGACTGCAAACATTCTCGTTCATAGTGCAACATGTGTGGAATATATCGTGATGAAATCACTGTGAATCCATCGTATCCTCGGTCTGTAAGACCTGTTGAACCACGAAAGCCTCTTCTTCATCTAATGGAAGATGATACACCTCACCATGTTCCTCAGCTGTCTCCTCGCCTTTAACCTCCTCCACGACGCCCTATTCGGTAAAAGAAGAGGCAATGTGCCCAAATCCATGGCATCTAAAGCATTTTTGGGTGGGAATTGTAGGTGTACTAATCTTCTAAGGCTTCTTCTCACTTGTGGTGGCTCTGTTCTTATTTGAACCAGTTTTTTCAACTCTCTGAGAGTGTGCTTCTGTTGGTGTCTCCAGCTGTGGATGGCTATTGACTAGTTGTAGTTGTTTGTTCTATTTATGATACATTTCCACTTTCAACGTTATGGTCCAGACATCTCCAATTGACCAATAGAGATGCAATTGTACCACGTTGCTGATAGCGGGATTCAGGCCTCTCTGATATCAAGCTATTGTATGCTCCTCCTGCTCAACCAACTTGCGCTTCAATTGCAATTGATCAAACTGGTCTGTCAACTCTTCCACTGATAGATCTCACTGCTGCAAGTGATGGAGGCTCAGAAATAGATCTTGATGGTAGTGGGGTGACAAGTATTTTCTCTACGTCTTCCTTCTAATCTTCTCCCACTTGGTGATCTTGTCACCGACCTCTCCCTTTCTCTGCCTCTGTAGGTTTTACAACCACAGGGAGACACTCTTCTTCAACTGGATGTTTGCTAGTTTATCAGTTTATCCTCTAGCATGTCCTTATACTTGAAAATTCGCACGACAGATTGTAGCCAATTTAGAAAGTCTTCTGGATCCATGTCTCTATGAACTCTGGTAGATCCATCTTTATTTTGAAGTCCACGTTTCCTCCATATGGGTCCTTATATGTCGGCCTCTTCTGATACTTGATTCCAAAGCGTCATAGTCTTTTTTCTTCATCACTTCCTCACTGAAATCCTCCATTTGGAAGGGGTTGAAATTCTCGTTTCTTTCGTCTTTTGGACTTTCCCTTTCTCTATTAAGGGTAACTCTTCCTAAGTTTCATTCTCAATGTCTGCAAGCTCCGCTGAAGTCGACAAATCCCTCGCCGTATCTCTTCTTAGGTTGGCTCAGACATTTATTTGATTGGTGGCATGGCTAGGGTTTAGAGTTGGAGAAGTGAAAGAGGGTAAAAATATGTTTTTTTTTTTTATTTGTGGGGGGGGGGGGGGGGAATTAGGGTTAGGTTAAAGTTTGGTTTGGGGATGGGAAAAAAATTGTTTTGGAGGGGTAAGGTGGATGCTTGGAAATCCTAGGATATGACTAAGATAAGATATCAAATGATAACGGAGCTAACCCAAACCACAATAGAAATCAGAAATATTATTGCTAAAATTCAAATATTTTACAACGACGACTCTTCAAAATAGGATTAGGGCGCGCTTGGACGACTAATGAGCAATGGTGAGGAGGGTTGGGATAGTTAGTGGTAGGTTGGTTGGGTACGGGTTTGTGGGTGATGGTGGCAGGAAAGTTTAGTATGAAGAGAACAGACTGGCAAGTAGATGAAGGAGTTGCACCAGAAGATGGTGGAAATTGATGGAGTTACAACAATGGGTTTGATATTGGAGTGGTTTTACAGTTGCAGTGGGGAAGAATAGGGAGTTACAACATTGCAAGAAGGTAGATAGTGGGGTTACGAAAGCTAGGTAGCCGGTTGATGGGTTATGACAGAGACACAAGCTTGTCGGTTGAGGAAATAAAAGGGGTTATCGAAGTGGAAGCAGGGAAGGTTGTCGCGTCGGTAAAGGGGGGAACAGGTGAGGGAGGGGAAGTCGTGGAGGATAGAGTTACAGTTGGAGCATCCCTCAAACTCTTGAAAAGATCACCACCGCATACGAGTTACAGTCGGAGTACCTTCTCGTCTTCGGATACAACCCTAGAGGGAAAACAAATGTCGACGATTAGCTGTACGGAAATTTGAGATTAGAAAGTAAAAAAACTAAACCCCAAGATAGCAAACACATATTTATAGATATATGGGCGGGAAAACAAGGAAGGAAGGCAGGGAGTAGTTCCCTCCTAATGAAAGATGGAGGAAGGGGTCGGTCCAGCCTCCTGCTTGACCGAGAGCCTCCTTCTACTTGACCGAGAGTGAATCCAGTGGCTAATTCAGTCAGGCCAGGCCTCCCATAAATACCCCGCATCACTACCACTCAACTATAAAGAGTTGGAATGAGACTAATGATAATGATGATACCCCTACTTTTTATTGTTGGGAAATGGTTGAAAGCTAATTCAATTATTGAGAATAAAAAAGAATAAAAAACATAAGAGAAAATAAATGCACAAAAACACAAAAACTATATAGAGGATTTTCCAATTGTTGGCTGCATTTTGTTGCCGTTGTAAATTTTATTGTGATTTCATTTTGAAGAATTACGACCAGAAGTTTTCTAATACAAAATACAAGACAGTGCCCCTTTTCTTAAAAAAAAATAAATTAGCTCAGCTGAAAAGTGTATGTTTTTTTAAAATGCCCTTTAATGAAATACCCCTGAAATATTACTTTTTGGGAGTGTTCTTTGCATGAAAACATGGGATGGGGTTCTCCTTTTCACTTCTAACCCCATGCCATCTTTATTCGAAAGGTCAACTTACAACTAATTCTTCATAGCGTGTTTTTTTTTTTTGGCTCTACAAATTTGCACTTTTAACTTCAAGAATTTCACCCCTTTTTAATGTTTTCTTGCTATTGATGCGTCTCCTAAAATCCATCTACGTTTCACTTTACTGGTAGTTTGAACAATGAAACGAAATGTGCCCTTGCATTTTTTTTTTATTTTTTTTTTATATTTGGAATGCGTGCCCTTGCATTTTTTTTTTATATTTGGAATGCTTTGTACCCTCTTCATATGGTGCTTTTTAAAAAATGTCTATGTTTCTAATTCATTTGTTTTACAAAACATTTTAAGACTAATAAAGATTGTTGCTAGAAATGTAGAATATACCAAGCTGTCTAAATTCTAGGGGCTTTTTCTATAAGATTCAATAAATTTGGCCACGTGCGGCACATAAGAAAAAGAAATTCTCCGAATCCGTGTTTTTTTTAGTCGACTCCAAAATGTCCTTGTTATAGTTATTCTTTTGTTTAGAGTGCTCATCTAATTTCTTTTTTTTATGCGATGTAGTTACCGCAACAGGAAAACTCATCTGATTGTGGACTTTTTCTGTTGCATTATGTGGAGTTATTCTTGGAGGAAGCTCCTGCTTATTTCAATCCAACCAGAATCACTAAGTTGTCAAATTTTGTGAGTTCTTCTGTGCTCTATGCGTAATCATTTACAGCAAACTTATTTTTGATCAATTGTATGAATTATATGTTTCATTATGTGCTAGGCTAAATAGGCCTTTACTTTTAGATTGATGTGCAAGAACAACTTGTGTTTGGCTTGTTAGCTAGTTCTTTAGTTAAACGTACAAGCTAAGCTTGTACTAGGTGCATAAGTTTATTTATTAAAATGTGCAAAACACAAATACGGGTAAGCTTGTTAATGTTTTGCTTGATAACAACTCAACGTATGTATGTAATTATGTATATTACCAAAAAAATGCATGGTGTAGAAATATGTTGTGAACTTTACTGATTCAATTCTTCAAGGATTTTGTAGTACAACTATACAAGTTATGTATAATTAGTGAAGTTGATTCAAGTTTTTTTAAAGACATTAGAAAATTCTTCCCTACATTTGAAAGAAAAATATTAATACAACAACAACAAAGCCTTAATCCCACTACGTGGGTTCAGCTACATGAATCCTTTTTCTCCATTGCGTCCTATTTAGTGTCATATTTTCATTTAGTTCTAGTAAATTAAGATCATTTTTAATACAATAAGCCCAAGTTTTCTTAGGTCTACCTCTGCCTTTCTTAACACAAGTCGAATCTAAAACATCTACTCTCCTAATCAGATGATCAGATGAAAGAAAAATATTAATAAATTATCTAAATAATTGAATTCAATTATTTACTTAATGCCACATAAATGGACCGTTGTTATAAATCAGTGAGATGGATACAACAATCCTAAAACCTTATTGGATAGATGCTACTGGATGGAAATTTACATGCAAAAATCAGGAAGATCCATGCACATAAGTAACATCCAACTATCCCACTCGAGTTGGATAGTAGATATCAATCATGTTCTTCTTGGATTTTGGTCTGTTGAAATTACTTTGATGTATGGCTTTAGTGAGTATAACATTTGTTTGGGATTTTTAACTAGTGCAAACAAGTGGATAGAATTGTGATCAATCTTTTCCTTGATGAAATGACAATCAATCTTTGTATGCTTAGTCCAAGCAAACTCTTTCGAATATCTCATATGACATAACGCTACATTTGACTACATTTTTTTCCACAAGTTTGTTTCTCGCTTCTCCATGTGACAAAATGTCATGACCCGCCCGGGGGCTTAGAATTATCAAGGCGGAACTGTCGGTCGGACGGAGGAAAATTATTTAACAGTTTCATTTCATAATTAAATAAAATCCGTCAAAGCACAAAAAAGTCATTTTAATCATGCAACTTAATTTTACAACATTTGATTTTGGTTTAAACTTTTACATTTAACATAAAATAAATTTGAACTAAACTACCTATCAGGTTACGCTCCACGGCGGCTGTACATGTACTCCCTAGGGTTAATCTAATCTACAACTAGTTTTTCTATAAAAAAATTATCAACTAAGTTTAAGTTAAAGCTACACAGTGGGTAAATGTTTCTAAATTACAATAATTCATATTTTAAAGTATTTTTGTAAAAGAGCAGGAAGAGTAAAAGACTGTGCAGTAAAAGAAAGCAGTAAAGAAAATAATTTCATTACTTTAAATTTATTTAGGTTACATCCTTGAGGCAGAATTTTCTGAAGTCCGTCTATTTTCTATTGCTTGGTTGAATTCTGAAATATATATTTAACTTTCTAAGTCCGTTTTTGATTATTATGGTTAACGGCCTACTTTACTTGGCATCCACCTTGCCATTTGCCAGATTTTTGTGAAGTTATGTTTGATTTACTAGCTTGTCTTACTTTGGCATGCTGTTCTTACTTTTGGGTGGTCCGGTCACCGTGAATGTGAAATTTATGTGAATGTTTATTTATGACTGAGCTCTTAGCAGCTTAGTGCAGATTGGTTTCCACCTGCTGAGGCTTCTTTTAAACGATTTCATATCCGTGGGCTGTTATATGAACTTCTAAGAGATTCATCTCAAAAACAAACTCCCACTTATAGCAATGGGGATTTCCCCTGCTCTGGTGATGATTGCGATCAAGCTGTTGCTTTGGAGTTTCTTTCTGCAGAGGACAGCCCATCAAAAATAGGCGATGGTAATTCTTTTTTTGTATAAAATTAATCTAACTTTGAACTACGCAATCTTTTCTGTTTGGTCATTGTAATAAACATGAGGAACTTGTCTGGTTGGCATTGCTTGATCCAGGGTCTGCTTCAACTCTCCTTGTAATTCCTGGCAATAATTTTGAGCAGACCGCAACTTTCGCTTCTCCTCATCCAAGAACATGCCTCGAGAAGGTAAATATCATTTTGAAATGATTTGGTTCACTAGCCTTTCTTTGCCACAATTATTTTTTTATCTTTTACATGCCGATGAACTAGATATTTAAAGCTATGTTTCTTCATTAGATCTGTGAAACTCTTGAGACCAATACAGTGACCTTGTGGCAGTGTTCAGGCCATAACTGTGACTTGTGGCAGTGAGTAATGATTGAATTTTTTTGCATCTTGACTAAGCTAGTCCATCTATAGTACTTTTTGATACAAAAATGGTTTTTTTACCTGGCATTTCATGTTGAAGAATATGAAGCATTTTAATCTTTAGTGAAATTGCATTCAAGACATACATATCAACCCAAAGATGCTATATTCTTGAGTTGATTAAGAGATCAGTAATGATTATTTTCATCTTAGGTGTCCTGCTTGCACTCAAGTAGTTCTTTATTGAGGGTTTGATAAAAAACATTTTTCAGGCAGTCATATGAGTTTTTATTTTAATAATTTTGTCTCCTGGACAGCAAACGTAATAGTTTTATCTATTTATCCGGTATATAACCATTGAAATTTCCTTATTAATGCAAGGTATATGCTCGTGAAGTTTATTCTTTTTGAATACTTCAAATCATCTGGACTGTTGATTACGTTGTTAATTTCATTTGATTGATACGTGTTTAAATTATTGTTTTGTGCCATGAAATTTGGGATCACCTTACTTTTCCTGATAAAGTTTAGTATGCGTCTTAATTTAACATTTGGTTGTTATGTGTTGAAAAATTAAACAAAGAAAATAAAACTTGTATTGAAAAAGAACTCTTAAAGCATATACTTTAAGGTTTTGGTTTGTTAAATATGTGGATAGAAACTAACGTTACATTTGCTTCTGTAGTTGGTCTTTTTATTATCATTTTCGGTACATGCTATGACGCTGGGCTTCTTTGCCCCTAACTTGCTAGATGTCGCGATATTACTGACGTGGGGTGTCGTTGCCCCAGACGCAATAGATGCCATGATATTACCTCAAACCGGTTTAGTCCGGGCAAAGGAGGGACCCTCCTATCCTTCCAAGCATGGGTTTCCCTCTTATTTGGAGCGTGGCCCACTCCTCTTTACCCTAGGTTTATATACATGTTATCTTTTCATGTTTAGGTTAGTTTTTCGTGTGTTTTGTATTGGAATGGCCGCCATCAGCTCTTCTTCCCTTCGAGGGATGTGTCCTATGGTCTCAAGTGGTGTTTCGGCTATATCTTGGTCTTCGGGTAGTGATTATCTTCCCTACCCCTTTCCGTATCCCTTTTGCTTCACAGTTACGCCTTCCTCGTTGTAGTCGCTCCAACAGCAGTTTTTTTGTTGTTTGTCCTACAGTTCCTAGTCATTCAGCCATCCTCCTCGCTGCTGCACCACCAGGACAGTCATCCTTTTGCTATCCCGCAGTCCTATGCCTTCCTTGCCATTGCTGCAGTCATTCCCGCTCGCCGCCGCGACTGCCTGAAAACAGCCTATCCTGGCTGTCTTTTGCTGTTCCAGCCGCTCGACCAACTGTTTCTCTCATTCCAGCCTATTGCCATTGTCGTAACTCCTCTCCTTCTCTACCAACATCCTTCCCACTTGCTGTCATCAACCCGGATAACCCTTACTCATCGTCCCCCGGCTATCTACTTGTTGTCCGGCCCGGTAAGCCGTTGCCGTGTTGTTTTCTTCCTGCCATTTGTCTTTTCCAACCATGTGTGACCTTCCAAACCCTCACCACCCACCACCACCCCAGGATCCAACCACGTGTTTGTATCGTGTAAGTTGTTAGTTTCTATTTATGGTGTCGTAATGTTATTATTTTTTATTCCATTTGGTTGTTGTAAGTCCATATTTGAGTTTCAGTAATAATATTTTCTTTTTCTATTGTGGCTTGGGTTAACTCCGGTATCATGCTCATTAATGATTGCTATGATTGTTATTGTATTTGAAGTTTGTAAGAAATGTTTGGCCTAATGCTGAGGTGAAGTTTGAATGCTTTTCTTTGAATGGAGAAGGTGTGTGCACATGCATGTTTGTGCACAAACGTTTACTAGCATCCTTTAGAAAAGGGATTTACCATTTTCCTTCTAAAAAGGCGAGTCATTATCCTCGCCCCTATTTTACCCTTTGTTCAATTTTTGTATAGTTGATGTCACACCTAACCCGGGGCTTGAAAATTTTAAGGCAGAAGCAGACGGTTATGCAATAATTTTAAATTAAAAACACTATCGCTAACTTATAAAAATAATTAACCACAAGATTGAAAGAGCGACTGATGAGGAAAATCAAATCAATTTAACTATAAAGCAATTGTTAATGTGAATATGATTCTTTCATTTGTTCGCACCTTCGATAAATTATTTCTCTTCTTCCACTCATATTCTAGTTAAACATTTAAGCTCTATAATTGGAGTCGGTTATATGAATTATTTTTCTCCATTGTTTCCTATTAAGTGTCCTATTTTCATTTAATTCTAGCAAATTAAGATAAGTCATATTTTCATTTAATTCTAACAAATTAAGATAAATTTTTTTTATATAACGTGCCCAAACCTTTTTAGGTCTACCTTTACATTTCTTAACATAAGTTGAATCTAAAAAATCTACTCTCATAACCAAATCATCAGATAATGTGACTAAACCATCTAATATTACTCTCTATATTATTTTCTATCTGTGGAGCTACTCTAACCCTTTCACCGATACATTCGTTTCACATTGTCTCAAGTTTCAAGCCGCTCATCCACCTAAGCATTCTCATCTCAACAACAAAACTTAATTTTAAGTCTCTTTTATAGGTCAATATTCTGCGTCATAAAACAGTGAAGGTTTCACCAACATTTTATAAAAATTTCTATTTTAAGTCTAAGTGGTATTGTTCTAGCACACAATAGGCCCGATGTATTCCTCCACTCCAACCATCCAACTTGAATTCTACTAATGACATCCACATCTATATCGCCGTCATTTTGAACAATAGACCTGAGATATCTTAAACGTTCACTACTTTTTAATGATGTGATCGCCCATTGTTACAACTCTACCACTATATGTACTACTGTTAAAATTACATTCTATGCATTCAGTTTCTATCTACTCAAATAAAGGCATTTAGGCTCTAATGTAAGATTTCCATAATTCAAGTTTTTCTTGAGCTCTTTCTACAACGAAAAGCATACACGAAGGTACATCCTTTTGTAAATTCCTGTAACTTGTAAATTCCTGTACCAACATCCATAACGAAAGCAAAAAGATATGGGCTTAAAGCCAAACTCTGATGTAATCCAATTGAAATAGGACAATACTTGGTTGAATGTCTTGAACAATAGACCTGAGATATCTTAAACGTTCACTGCTTTTTAATGATGTGGTCGCCCATTGTTACAACTCTACCACTATATTTACTACTATTAAAATTACATTCTATGCATTCAGTTTATATCTACTCAAATAAAGGCATTTAGGCTCTAATGTAAGATTTTCATAATTCAAGTTTTTCTTGAGCTCTTTCTACAACGAAAAGCATACACGAAGGTACATCCTTTTGTAAATTCCTGTAACAACATCCATAACGAAAGCAAAAAGATATGGGCTTAAAGCCAAACTCTGATGTAATCCAATTGAAATAGGACAATACTTGGTTGAATCTCCTTCTATTTGAACACAAATAACAGATCTAGTATACATATCTTTAATGACTTGAATACAATTCATATCAACACATTTCTTTTCTAGAATTCTCCAAAGAACTTCTCTTGAAACCTTATCGTAAGATTTTTGTAAATCAATAAAATTATATGTAGATCCTCCTTACTCGTTTTGTACTTCTCCATCAAAACTCTCAATAAATGTATACATTCTATAGTAGACTTGCACGACATAAATGCAAACTTAGTATGAGAAATCTTTGTATCACATCTTCACATATGTTCAATTACTCTCTCATAATTTTAATTTATGACACATTAACTTAATTCATTTATCATTTGCACTCTTCTACATCCCTTTTATTCTTAAAAATGTGGACCACAATACTCTTCCTTTATTTCTCAAGCATTTTTTTAGTTTTTAAAATAGTATAAAAAGTTCATAAAGCCAAAAAACTCACAAATCTTCTAAATATTTTAACACTACCACCAGGTCCTACTAATTTCTTACCCTCGGTTTTTTTTTAGTCATCATTAACTTCCTTTTTATTAATACGACGGTAAAAATAAAATATTTTATTATTATTAATGATATTAAGATCACGAAGTTCGATCGTATTTTCAAAAACTTCATTGTGAAGTTTATCAAAATATCTCACCCCCGCCTATATTGAATATCTCTCTAAGTAGTTTTTGTTTTTCAACTTTAGTACACTTTACTTAAATTAAATATTTATCATTTTTTTCTTTGTTTGTCTACTGTATACATATATCTTTCACCATCTTTAGTATTTAATTTATTATAAAGATTACTAAAAGTACAACTTTTAGCATCATAAATTGTTCTCTAAGACTCTACAAGCCACCTTGTATTTTTTTTAAGTTTTCTACATTTAAACCAATTAAAAAAATACTTGTAATATTTTATCTTTTATTGTACATTATTATTTCAATGCCAACTATTTTTATGTATATATATATTTTTTATTTTTCAAGTACATCTTTTGTCACTTGTTTAATAGTGTTTGGTACTTTTCCTACATAAAATTAACTTCTTCATGACATCACAAATCTTGAATCCTTGAAGAGTACTAATAAAAATAATTATTCTAGATGTTAAATGCAAAACTTAAGTCCCCATTTAACTTCTGAAACTAAATTCAATGCTTTGACTATAATATATGTACTCATTAGTGTATTATTTTCATTTTATCTGGCTAAGTTTTACATTTTTGATAATCTTTTTGTGTTTTAAGTAGGTAAATAACATTTAACATTTCTGGGATGTTGTCCAGTATGTCGTTTATATATTTTATGTTGCATGATCTTTCTTGAGGACTTGATAATTCATATTCTAAATCTTAAAAGGAAAAAAACAAAACCTCTTTGTATTTCTGTAATTATAATAACTGAAATGCTAATATAATTTAGGATTCTTTGCTATCGTTTTTTTTTTTCCCTCATATTGTAAATATGAGTGTTTAGGATTATTTGCTAACGACTGGATACACAGACACCCTGTTTTATTCTCTCTTTCTGCTTGTAAATTAGGAACTTGGGGATGCTAAAGCAGACATAACAGAGAATCTAATTGGGGAGGGGAATGAAGATTCATCAGATCAACTGGTTGCCATGATCAAGAACCTAGATGATTGCCATCTACTTGTTGGTAGTCCTACTCAGATCTGTTTAACATCATACAGTGTGAACGACCCGGGATCTCGTTACCTCCCATGCATTCCCGAGCAACCGATGGAGGCAGTTGTGGATACCTTTCCTACAATATTGAACGACCACCAACTTGCTATCTCGGGCGAGAAAGATGGAACACAAAAGCTTACATCTGTAGTCGATGGCTGCACTTTCATGCCTGATAATCCCATTACATCTGGCGAGAATCTGAGTGAATGCGTCAGAAGTTCGCAAGAAATGGATGATGGTAATTCTGAGGTTGAAAAGCATGATGATCCCCGAAATATTTGTGGTTTTATAGATGATCACTGTGATAATGATGAAAAATATCTCAAAACTGGCACAAAAGAAATGTGTGAAGAAGCCGATACATCAGAGATTGAGAATGATAAAGCTGATCATTGTCTACAAAACCAAACTATTGGTGCTAATTGTAAAGTGGAAGAAAACAGCTCCATGGCTGAGGATGGAGGGGACCAAGAGATGAGCCCTCCTCAGAACGTTGCAGAAGTTTCTGATAGTCAAGAGAACAATTTTGTTAAGGAAATGAGCAAACAAAGCATTGATACCATTAAAGAGGATCAATCAGGATCAAATTTTCATGATTCGGGGATTGTCGAGGTGATTTCTCTAGACAATGATGTCGTTCAGCCTAAGAGGAATAGAATCTCTGAATCTGTACAGCAGGTTTCTAAACGCCGGAAGGTCTTGCACCAGGACATACGTCGCCGGGTCACTCGAAGCTCTTCTAAAGAGTGTGCTTCATGACATTTTGGACCATTCACAAATCTAACAGATTCATAAGATTGGTGTGTAAATTTTTAGTGAAGCAGCTATTCATTTCCACTTGTTTTAAGTCTCCGTAATGGATTTCAATTAGGAGTTAATGTTTTGTTACCTGCATTGTAGGAGAAGATTGTGGGGGTGATTAGCGGGTTTAGTGTGAGTTGATGCCCATGTTTTGTTTGTTCAATGTATGTGCTTTTTAACTCTTTACTGTCAAAGACAAGGCATGGCATGATACTCTTTTATCTTTTTGAGAAATTTACATACATACCATACAATTCGTATATATTTACTTATCTAACACTCAAAAGTTTGATATTTATACCTATAACATATTGGTTTCATAAATCTATGCATGAAAAAGTGCATTTCATTTTTAAAATGGTGGTAATATTATTTTTTAGGTGATGTTAAAAATTTTGTGGTATGCATATAAATATGAATGTTTGGTGTGAGATATTTATATACATAAGAATTATGGTGGTATGTATGTAAATGTGCAATCCGATGCACATTTACATGCATACTCCATAATTCTTATGCATTTACATATTTAAAACCATGATATTTATATCCAAAACAATAAAAATTTTAACGTCTTGTCAAGATATCGGTATTATTATTTTAAGAAAAGGTGGAATATATTTTTAATGAATATATTATATTCATGTGATTATGATGGCGAAGTGTTATATTACAATTATAAAATTGTAGGTGTTAGATATATAAATATATAGAAATATGAAGCATGTATGCAAATTTTTTTCATATACTTGTATTAATACTGTGTAATGATGCTTGTTCATCAGCTCATGTGATTTGAGCTTGAATTTGTTTAATTAATCAAATTTGAGCTCGAGTATAAATCTACAGGTTCTAGTCGGCTTCTAAGATGATTTGTTTATTATAAAAGAAAAAACAATATTATTCCAAGTTGGTGTATAATAAAATTTTGCATGGCGCAAGTTGTGATATATCCTCATTCCATTTGAGTAGTACAAATAATATTATTACAAAATTTTCAAGCACTAAAAATTATTAGTTTGCATAAAATATATCTAATTCTCAATGACTTGCGAGATAAATCCCTAGAAGTAGGAACATGGAAAGCAAGTCCGTTAACATGCAAATGCTCCTAATGCCACATTTGAAACAAGTGTAAACATCCTACTATTTTAGCACGGGCTAAATTTAACTCTCTATTCAAACACGATAACAGAATCTCTTAGAGGGTATTGTGAAAATATGTTAAAATTTTAAAATAATGATAAATATTGTAAATGCAGGTGCGAACCTAACGTATTGGTAAGTAAAAAACATTCAAACATGCATAAAACATATGCTCTAACATGACACAAAAAGTAGGATAATTCATTCTTGTAAGATTCTCTATAAAAGGTCAATCTTAGCGAACGAAGAGGTGTAATAGTATGGGATTGAGAGTAACACATTCAAAGTTTGTCATGACTTTTTTGTCTTCGGGTTGATGAACATACTCATCTAGATGTCTTCATAATAAATCATCACAATAATATGAGCAGCTAGACCAATGCAACTTCAGCTCAATGAAAATATGATTAATCAGGGCTCTCCATTCACCCTAATGCCAAGAATAATTTGTACATCATGTAGCATGATAGTGATCTCACATGTGAAATAATAAAAGTTTCTTATCACATTATTAACTACAAATAGATTAATAACATACAATTTTATAAAACCTGTTTGGCTTATCATAGGTTATGATGTAGAAGTCTATTAAGAAGTTGAAGGGATTGATTTGCCAAACGGAAAAGAACTGACTTGATTTATATCAAGGACCAACAAAACATAACTTCATTTATTTATGCTGTCAGATTATTGCGTACAAATATGAATTAGACATAAAGAAGATGAAATCTCATGTTTTGTAAGCACATATGAAAAATAATAATACTAATATTAATAATATATATATATATATATATATATATGAAAATATTTCTCCTTCTTTAATAGCTGATATTATTTTTTTTCGTGAAAGTAGAGGGGTTTTTAGCCTATAAATAGGCAAAGGAGAGGAGAAAGAATGTGAATTCTCAATCCCTTCATAAGAGGTGATCTAATATTTCCCAGAAGAAGAAAGTCGTCCTCGACTTGCGTGGTAGAAGAGCAAAGGGACCTTCTTTCACGTTGTGGTGAAAAGGAAAGTAGATCTCGTCCTGCATAGCAGATAAGTAATGATATCTTTCACGTTGTGGTGAAAAGGAAAGTAGATCTCGTCGTCCTGCATAGCAGATAAGTAATGATATTTTATTTCGTGTTGCGGTGAAGAGGAAAGGTGTGTTCGTCCTGCATAGCAGACGAGCAATGAGATCTTATTTCTTGTTGTAGTTAAGAGGAAAGTCGTCCCCTTCCCACGAAGCTGACGAGCAATGGGATCTTTTTTCACATCAGTGAGATGAAGAAAGTTATATCAGTCCCTACCCAGTAGGCGACTCGAGATCTTCTTGCTTGTTGTTGCTGCACACTTTGGTGGAGATGAAGAAATGCTAGATTTTTCCCACCGCACTTTGGGGGAGAATTTCATGCTTCTGTAGCAGTTGTATCTTTTATAGCATTTGTGTCAGTTCTTGTTAGTCTTTAGCCTTTTTAATCATCTGATGTGACATTTGTAAATGATAATGCAATTCTTTATGCGTCTTTGGCGTTGTTTCTGAGGGTGTTATGGCTTCTCAACCATACAAAATTTTGCAATTAAAGTTAGTACACACACTTTATAAAATAAAGAATCGGGTACCTTTTGAGGCTCGTGCCTTGTGAGATTTTGCCCTCTTAGGTTTATGTCTTAGAAGAGTTTGAAATGAACCGGTACCTTCTAAGGCACATTCTTCTGAGGTTTTTTTATGTCCCTGTGCAGTTTCAAGCTTATAGCTTTTTGAGGTCATTAATGTACCTATTCATTCTGAGGCTTGTAGCCTTCTGAGGTCTTTAATATTCATGTGCATTCCGAGGGTTGAAGCCTTCTGAGGTCTTTGATGTGCTTGTGCTTTCTAAGACTTGTAGCCTTTTAAGATCTTTGATTTACCTGTGTCTTCTGAAGTTTGTAACCTTTTGAGGTCTTTGAATGGAGACCTTGTCAATCACTTGCTCTCATGAATTCTTTCTAGTGAGGACTATGTCCACTACTAGCATCCCATCAAGAATTGCCTCTCGGTCTTGCTTCCAAGGGCATGGTAACTTTTCGTTGAGACTTGCCTCTTGGGCTCTAGAAGTACCATATCTTCTCACAGAGTCTTGCTACTTGGGCTCGACTTCCAAGGGCATGATGACTTCTCATCGAGTCTTACCTCTTGGGCTCAACTTCTAGTGTATTGTATCTTCCCATTGAGTCTTACCTCTTGAGCTCAACTTTCAGAGGCATGGTGGCTTCTTATAGAGTCTTGTCTCTTGAGCTTGACTTTCCAAAAGTATCATATCTTCCCATCGAGTCTTGCCACTTGGGCTTGACTTTCAAGGGCAAGGATTAGGACCTTGTGTACCACACACAAATCTTTTATGAGAAAATAAGAAAATTTTACTGAAATGACAGTTTAAAGCAACATGAAAATTTTACTAAAATAAAGCTAAAAGTTTATAAGCTAGTCTTTTACTCAAATAAGATAATTCCAACAATTCTCTTTTGATTCCTCTCTCCTTGTTCTAGAAAGTAGCGCCTTGGATGACCTTGGCGTATCAGACGCTCCATTTCTTCCTTTAAGTGAATCATCTTGCTGTCGAATGTCATTTTTCATGGTGTAAATGACAATATTTAGATTGGTCTTGACCATATGAATATTTAACGATCTTAGCCACTTGAGAGTATCTTCATCCTTGATGGCCATTAGTATGTTGCCATGTAATGTGTTGAGTGGCGTGCATTCATTTTCTGATTGTGCCTCACGATTCCCCTGCGGTCTAAATTTTTTGTTGTTGTGATATTTGATCGACATCTCTGGTGTTATTCTTGTGCTTACCCCCAAATCGCTCAAATTGTTCCTTTTGTGCAATGATGACCTCGTCTGCAGAGATTTGAACTTCGACTCAATGGATGAGATCAATATAAGAGTGCACCGTCTCTCGCATCAGTGATGAATAGAAAGGTCCTGAGCTGAGCCCTCCAAGAAAGACTCCTTTTAGTAACTCTGAATCCACTCCAAAAATCTGATAGGCTTCAGTGGAGAACCTGTGGAAGTATTCCTTGAGAGATTCCCCCTCATTTTGCAAAACAACAGATAAGTGGGATGAATCTTTGATGATCATTTTATTTGCTATGAACAACTCTATAAATAATCTGATAAGCTCATTGAAAGTGTTGATGGTGTCCCCCGGAGAGAGTAGAACCGTGTGCGAGCTTGAACCTTGAGAGTCACCGGGAACACCTGACAGAGAAGCACATCAGAGGCACATTGAATGTGCATGATAGCTCGATAGTGGTCGACGTCCTCGTATGGATCATTTGTCCCATCATAGGCATCAATATTTGGAAGTTTGAAACCTGTTGGAATGGGTGTCAGAGAACCGCATTAGCCAAATGAGAGGATTCTTGGAAGTTGCGGTGAGCAGGGAAACGTTCCTTTTATCCAGAGGGAGCTCTTCTGAAACCAGGTGTCGTAATTTATCTTGGATGATATCAACAGAATCGGCGTAAGGCAGAGCGATGCTAAGTGAGCTGCATGAGATGGATAAGTGGAAATTGTAATGTCGAGAAGATCGATGTCTCGTCTCGGTAGAGGAATAGTTTTATCATTTAGAGGAGCACAGTGAGTGGGGTACTTCCTATTGAAAGCTGAACTGGCGCTAAGTAAGTTTCATTGGGTTGTGGTTATCGCTCCCTACATAGGAGACGAAGGATCTTATGCTGAGACTCCTCCATCCTACGTACTTGATATTCCAGATAATTACCCAAGACACTTTCGTCAGCAAGGTAATGCCTTATGGAGTAGGAGGATGCAGAGGCTTGATAACCTTGGCTACATGACTATCTTCTGGAATGATGAGTGTTGGAGCAGAAGGCTCCGTTGTTGCAAGTGTTGCGTTTGATGACCTTGCAACAATTCTTACAAGTATTTTAGTGATGAGAATGCTCTATTTCCTATATACGACGTCAAACTGATGCATGCTAGAAAACTCACAGCGTTTGAGTAATGGATTATCTCCTTAGCGTTGCATGAGAATTCAACACTCATTAAGGTAAAATAAAACAACTAGTAATGACACTAGAAGTTCTTACATGGAAACCCTGTGAAGGGAAAATACCACAAGGTCTTACCTAGATGTAAAAATACACTATATATTGATGATTGCAGAGACCTCTTGTCTCACAGACGGGAAATGATTAATAGTTTTTCCAAGTTACAATGTTAACTGACGTACTTTGGTCGGTGGTGGTCGACAGATGATTGGTGTTGATCAACACTAGTCAGCAGTCGATGACAATCAGTGGTGGTTGACGACGAAAGTGGTGATTGATGGCGTTCGATCGTGGTCGTCGGAAATTAACGACAGTTAGCAGAGATGATGTTGGACTTCATTTCCTTCTCAAAGCTTTAAGTTCTCTCTAAAACCTCCAACCCCCTCTCATAAGTGGGGTGAGCTTCTATTTATAGTGTTCTTGGTGCAATGAATGCATGAATATGAATTGCTTTGATCGGATGGTCCGGAGGGTCTTTTTCGATCAGACGGTGTTTGATGGACATTTGAGTGCCTGAACGATGTCGGAATTGAGCAAGCTTGGGATTGTTTGATTCATCTTATCGAGACGCTCGATATGATTATTAACTTGCTAGATTCAATATTCATTTAATCTTCTAAATATGTCCGAAAAACTTTCAATAGTGGTTTAATGACATGATCTCAGCTTGATTTGACTCAAATTGGACTAATTTTTGTAACATAGGCTTCTTCATGTTGAGCCGATCAGTTTGACTGTTAGTTTGCTGAAATCATAGTTACAGATGAGTTTTAATCGATGTTTCAATATTTCTTGCTCAAAAAGTCATTTCGAGCTCTTAGTTATGCCTCAAAATTTGTATTGGATGATGAAATTTTATTGAAGTCCTATCACTTATATTATTCGAATTTCATTCCAATTTTAATGGCCACTTCTTTAAAATTGAATTATTTTATTTATAAATAGGTCTCCTTTTGGTAGCTTCCAAAATTATAGAGAATAATTACATGGTTTATTATTATTTTTTTTAAACTAGAAAATTGAGGCGCTCGATAATGATATCTGGGATTTGGATGGGTCTCAAAAGACTGGAAATTTACTCTTTGTTTTAAGGGAGTATAGCCAAAACGATTCCTCGACTGGACCGTGAAAGCTTCTACCCATGGCCGCCACCGCTGCCTCTTTCCGCCCTCTCACCGTCGCTGCGGCTCGATCTTCCTCTTCATCCTCTTCCTTGTCCCGTCGTTTCGCTCTCTTCCACCTGGCTAGCGGTGAGCTCCGTCTTGCTCAATATTCCAGAATTAACAGCGCGTTTGGAATCGCAAAGTTTCCCAATTTTTTTCTGAGCTAAGCCGATGTGCTTGTTTTGGTCAATTTCTACCATAAGAACTAGTTTCTTTTCCAATCTTTAATACTTGGATGTTAGGTTGTGTTGATTTTTTGCGAGTGAGTTTTGTCAGTGGGCGGGAGTAGTGATGAAACTTTCTTCTTCTACTAAAGTGGAGACGACTTGCAAATTTTATGGGAGGGGTTTTGCTGCGGAATTACTTTCTTGTCTTGATTTACTTGCCCGTTTTTTATTTGCGGGGAATCACTGAAATTGATGAAAGGTTGATCAGGATGCATGGATTCACTGCTTAATATCTTATAAATTGGGCTTATTATCTAGTTGCATGGGATTTTTTTCTTTTTTTGATTCTTGGGTTTCATTGTGCGAGTATTTCAATCGGGTGCATTTGCAGTACAATAGTTGTCACCAGGATAATGATCATGGCGATGATGATATTGAGGTGCATTTAAGGTCTAATACATAATTAAAGTTTGACTTTTCATAATCCTTGGTATGTTGAGAGTATAATTATTTGAATGGTAATGGGTCTTTTTAATCTTTCATTTGTCTAAAGGCGAGGCTTTCCTTTCTCTCATCTATGATCATTTCTTGTGCACGATAAATCATGAAATGCTTGAGCCATTCTGAGGATGTTTTTCAGGGGTGATTAGCTTTTTAAGGCTGAAAAAAGTTGAGTTTGAGTAATCTTGTTCTGAGTTTTGTTTTTCAATTCAACAAATACTTTAAAGATTGAAAATGTAAATAAGAATGTGCCCTTAATTCCCATCCTGGACTTGATTGGGCACTGATGGCTTCTTGACCTATTTGTTGATTCAGCAAGCGCCTTCTATGGATACAAAGCTTGTACTATGATCCTTTCACCCTATTATTTACGTTTGCAAGATTTACATACATATCACTCGATTCATATGTACTTACATATACAACAACTAAACTTCAACTTTTACATATGTAAAACCTTACCCATGCATGAATAGCTGTATTTCACCTTTCAAAAGTTAAAATAGTAGTATTTTTCAAGTGACACGGAAGATTTGGGCGGTATAAATGTAAAAAGTAAAGTTTAGGTGTTAGATATGTAAAGTCATAAGAGTTGGACCGTACGTGTGTAAATGCCCCTTTAGTTTTTAGTACCAAACTTGAATACTGCAAGGGATGTTTCTTATAATACTCTTCTTGTACTATGTATCCAGTTGGATTTTGCAATTTGAATTGAAGCAATGAATGTATTTTTTTCCACGAATTTTGCATTATTTGTGAATATTTTATGGCATGAATGTATAGCTGTGCCACAAGCCCAATTATTTGGAATGAAGCCTTTGCGATTAAAAAGAGCAGCAGCAGATGACGCTTTAGTTCGTTCTACTGGGAACATTGCTCAAACTAGCACCACTATTACTCAAGAGAACGCCTTGGAATGGGCCAAAAAGGATAACAGAAGGCTACTTCATGTTGTTTATCGTGTGGGTGATTTAGACAAGACAATAAAGTATGTTTCTCTTTCTCCACAAGTATCAAGTCTAAAGTTAACTCATTGATTCTATGGCTTTGAAATCCTTGCGCTTGTTCATTTTTGGTGGTCAGATTTTACACTGAGTGTTTGGGTATGAAATTATTACGGAAGCGTGACATTCCCGAGGAACGATATACAAATGCTTTCCTTGGCTATGGACCTGAAGATTCACATTTTGTTGCCGAGCTCACTTATAGTAAACTATTTCTCTTACCGTTTAACAAGCTAATATGAATCATTATCCTATTATAAATGTTCTTTTGTGTATTTAATGATGTTCCATGCTTTTCATAATTTTGTAAATTGGAATTGTTTTTGTAATACTCTTCTTGTTTTTTTTAAGTATATTTTTCTAAACCATGACAGATTACGGAGTTGAAGAATATGATATTGGAGCTGGTTTTGGTCACTTCGGTGTCGCAGTTGAAGATGTAAGCTTTTGTTTTCATGTTATGCAGAAACAATTGCTTAGAATGTGATTATAAATTTCTTATCTAGTTTATGATACTTCATGTTTTGTTATCTACTCATTGTAATTTGTGATTCTGTAAAACTGACTTGTGTCATTTTTGCTTGACAACAAAATTATTTAAGTGTAGTTTAGGAAATATTTCACATTCTAACATGTTCATATCATCTTTATATTATGGGAATGATGAACTTTGCAATGGACTTATTCTGTGGAACTTTGGTATTACCGAAAAATAATACTTGTCAAGACCATGTTTTTCTAATAATGAGACTAAATTTTGCAAAATCAAGATGAGCGAGGGATATCACTTCATCTACAATTTTTTATTTGATTAATACTTTGGCCTTCTAATAGCCATTACAAAAGAAAATATAATCTATGTATTTAAGAACTAATATTAAGCCATTTCCCAGTGCAACGGGCCTTTTAAATTTATGGTTTGAAGTTGGTTTGAGACATACCTTGATTTTAAAAAATTATTACGGGTTGCCCTTCTCATGTTTAAGAAAAATGTGGAATATTTAGTATGTATTTCATCATCCATTATATTTAAACCCTTCATAAGCTCCTTTAATCAAATCCTTACAATTATTTCCAAATAAAGTGTACCGTCTTTTAGCCATCTCAGTTGAAGTTTAGAGGGTCCTAAGGTGATTATTCGCTGTAGCATTTTAGACATTCTTCAGTGTATGATAGACTGCTGCATATCATAACTCAGAGATTGTACAGATATGTACTTTCATTTTAAATAATTTCATTGGTTTTATATCTTCAATGAGCATCTCATTAGGTGTATATATTTATGCCAAATAGGTTGCTAAAACTGTTGATCTTATAAAAGCCAAAGGTGGTAAAGTGACAAGGGAACCTGGTCCTGTTAAAGGAGGTAAAAGTATTATTGCTTTCATTGAGGATCCTGATGGTTATAAGTTTGAGCTTTTGGAAAGAGGTCCAACACCAGAGCCATTGTGCCAAGTAATGCTTCGAGTGGGAGATCTTGATCGATCCATAGAATTCTACAAGAAAGTGAGTCTGTGTCATTTTATAACACATTCAAATATTTAACGTGCTTTTAGCTTTGCTCACTCATGCTGTTTAACCTTGAATTTTTCATATTTTCCACGAAGGCTTTTGGCATGGATCTTCTACGTAAACGAGATAATCCTGAATATAAGGTAACTTTTAGCTAATTTAGTGAGTTTATTCACTCCTCTTTCACCAAGTACATTTAAAAATTTACTGCTTAGTCTTTTTAGGCGTTGCTCCATTTTGCATAACTTCAGCTTTATAACTTTGTGGAAAATTCATGGTATTTGTATCGTTCTAAAAGTACCATAATAATTGTTGCTATTATGGTTGTGTTAGCTGGAGTCCTCAAATGCGACTTTATGTGTATCTACATTGAATATGCCCGCTTATTTCCAAATAAGAATTATAATTATTGTGCATCTTTAGACCTGTTAGATATGTATGGTCATTGAGCTAGCTGCACACATTTTCACTCCTCTCTAAATATTTATAGATATTTCAGCCCTACTTTTTATGTTTTCTCTTTTACTGTAATATTTTCTTAGGACCAGTCGTTTGAACTTAGCAAATTGGCATCTATTTGTCATCATGCAAACTATTTTTTTAGCAGGGTAGCTTACTTTTTATTTTTTCTCTCTCTTTAAAGCCCGTTTCGTGTACTTGTTTATTTCCTGAAATACTTGTAGATCTCCCCATGCTTTAAGTCTGTTTACTTTCGTTTGGATATTTGATTTATCTTCTCTGTTAATAGTATTTGTTCTGTGTGCTGCGCTGTTCACTGGCCATTGCTGGTTAAGCGCAATCATTCTTTTTGATCTGATAAAAGCTTAGTGTCTGACTCGATAAGTGTAAGTTTGCTAAGATATCAATTGATTGCTTCCAAATAAAAAACTTGTTTTAGAAAGTGTTGATTTCATTATTATTTATTTTATGTGAGGAAATGAAAAAATCACAACTGATGGATTTTGAAGGTGCTTGTAAAATTTAAAATAAATATTAATTTCATTCAAATAATGAAGCCTAGAGCATCCACCAATTTTCAAAACCTACTTTTAAGGTAAATTAATCAATCGAAAGAAAAAGTTGACCGACAGTGCTTGGATGCTGGGTATCAGATCTACTTCATTTCATTATCACCTGATGTTGTGTTTTATGGTTTCTATTTAATCTTAATAGAAAGTGGGATAAGAAATTTAGTTCTTCTTGTTCTGCAGCTCTTGACAACAACTACCTATAGCATCAGGTCTAGGCGTTGAAGGATAAGCTTCAGTTTTCTTGCCCAGGAACCATTGCATAAGGAATGAATAACAAGAATAACTGAAGAGTGCTGGTTGAATCTTCTACAAATTTGAGTGGTTAATTAATCAAGTATAATAAGGATAAGATCTAATCTACTAATAAAAAGTTCCACAAAAATATAACTTTAAATTACAAATAACAAGCAATTTAACTTCAAAACACATGATAATTCCAAATTTTGTGCTTTCATTAAGAAATAATCGTATTAAAAAATTCATAAAATTCAAGCTCATCCTTTATAGTCCTGTAACTTGAGTTTTAATCTGATGTTTTAGCTTTCAGGGCTTTGATCTTTATATACATTATTAAATTGATTGTGATTACACCTATGAATTCTTGGCGATATCCTTTTTGATGTCGATGGTGTGGAATTATGCTCATTAATATTTACTTTATTCTATTTATTACTTGCTATATTTTGTCATGGTATAAAAAGGGTAATTCCTTAATTATAGGTATTTATGTTTATTCCATAATTATAGGAATTACTTAATTGTAGGGAGATTTCTTTCCTCCTTTTATCTCTTGTACTCACCTATTTATAGGTGAATTATCTATGTATTCAGTGAGAAAAAAAGTTATTCAAAATTCACAGATGGTGTGATATGAGTTGGATGATGTAGAATCATGTGATCTAATCTCTTGATTCCTTCGTGATTTGATGACTAAATTGTGTGGGATATTTCTTTTTGGGTTTCTTTGAAATGAATTAATGGGAATATTTTTAATAGGTTTCGAGTGTTACTGGAGTGGATATGGAATGTTTTGAGTTGGTGGAAGAAGTTTAAGAAAATATGTTGATTGGCTTAAGATTTATGGATCAATTTTTAGTTGAAATTTTATAGTAGTGGAAGAATTGGTTTATTCATGGAAGAAGGTTATGGCCTAGAGATCAAAAGTTTGAGATGTTTCTTAACTAATAGATATGATTTTACATAAATTGGATTGGTAGTTATGAAATTTTAACGCTTGACTTTTAAATGTGGACTATTCACGATAGGTGGATAGCAAGAGGTAGAATTTTATGGATGAAATAAGGCTAAATCTTTATAAGGGTTTGGAAAAGTGACGGGAAAGTAGGAGAACAAGAAATAAGAGAGAAGTAGACGTTTGGATTTGTTAATTGTAATTATGTTTGGCTCGTAAATCAATACGAAAGTTGGTTACCCCAACTGCTGCAGACATTAATTTTTGCATTGATTCATGTTACATTTCATTGAATCAGTTGGGATATAAATAATACATGAAGTGCTCCAAAAAAGAACTCGTAAAGAAACACACCAAAATTCGTCTATAAAAATTCATTCGTAGGCTATAAAGGCTGCCCCCTTCATGATCTTGTCATATTTGAAGACATAATACCACATCGATTTAAAGGATTTAATTAACTATTTTATTGCTTCTCTTGAATTTTTATTTAGGGCAAACTTTTATTTGAAAAACTGATTTTAATATTTAAAATATTTCATTCAAAAAGCATATGGTGGGCCTCCATTTCCTAAATAGAAGAAAAGAAAATTGAGATGTATATAATTATCATGATAGTCCACCTTTGGTGAGAATTTATTTTGTTGTTTGCATCAACTAAGTTATTTTGTTATTTGCATCAACTCTCCACTTGATAAACTCTGCATCATATAGTATAAAATGTCGTGTTTAAATGATTGGGATAATTCTCCATGTGTCTATAGATGTGGAGTATTTATTTAGTTTTAGGTGTATCATAATATTTATGGCTACTGAGATAATTGATAATGACACTAATTTTGAAAGTTGACTTTTATTTCCTCTGTACTTTTTCCCCTTATTTTGCAAATATCAATATGCTTAGTTAAAGTTGGATTTAGTGGTGGAGAGCCTTGCCGGAGAAGTTTTAAAGCAATTTTGTCTCCTATTAGTTATGTTGTTGGCTCTTTGGATTGATTAGTTTTCCTCTTTTTTGAGAAAGAGTAGAAGTTTTGGATCTTTTTGTCTCTGATATCGAATGATGGGGATTTCTAATGACATTTTAGGGGTTGTTAGAGCGGAATAGGAGGTTTAAAGTTAGTGAAAGGCTAAAAGAAGATGAAACTAACGGTCACAGTAGGTGAATAACTAGAATTAGGTTTATAAATTGAAAGTGGGATGTTAAGGTTGTTGGAGTGGATGTAGAATTTTAGCTAACTAGTGTACATGATTTTAAATCACTTGGATATGTGGTTAGTATGTTAAAATTTATATGTAAATTGGTCACAGGAGCTGGACAACAACAGTTAGGATTTTGTAGAAGGGATGCAACTTAATTTTATTGAAGCTTAGCGTGTATTAATGTTTTGGGAAGGTGGTGGAGATGTGAGAGAACAAGAAATAAGAGAGAGAATAATATGCTAGTTTGCAAACCATAATTGTGACTGTGATATGATCCAAGCAAATTTTCCACAAAAATTAGGGCACAAAATAGTTTTATTTCAGAAACACTAAATAACGCAACACAAATACATAATTATAAGCTCCTACAATTCGAGTGGTAGGCAATCTTTCCCAAATCCTACAATTTAAGATGTAGGAAATGTCTCCCGAACCCTAAGATGCAATACATAATCTCATGCATATCTCTAACCCCATATTAGCCCTATTTATACTAACCAATAATAAATGAGAAATGACTAAATTATCCTTAGGTGAATAAAGACTAAATTGCCCTTAGGTGTCGTCATAACATTACTCCCCTCTCAAAATTACACCTTGTCTTCATGGTGGGAAAAAATGGCTCTTGGATTAGGTCATATGGCTCTCATGTGGCTTCATCATCTGACAATCCTTTCCATTTAATCAAAAATTCTATGCGACTCTTATCGTCTCGAAATGTCATCTTCAGTCACATCCGAATTTGATGTTACCCTAACTTTAAGTCAATCCTAGAGAATAGTGCCACCCTAAATAACTCATTTAGTAACTTGTTGATCACCGAAGTCTCTGTCAACTCCGTATCATATGTCTCTTCCATGCGATGCCACTCAATTAAGAGTCCCAACCCTGCGTCTTGAATCACTATCATTATTGTTTTCAACGTTACCAAAGTTTTACATAGCATGGGGTCGCTAAGAAACACCATCATCTTGTCTCTCTTGTGAATATGTTGCAATGCCAAAATCACTCCCTTAAAAACTCTTTTGCTCCTCACCTATCCCATTCCCATCATTACTCTTGGATCGCCTTTCGTCCGAAAGGCCGCCGCCGCAATGGGCATCGACGGAGTTAGATGCAACCCTCCGCTGGGGTCCCATCCACCATGGTTCCTTGTTCCAGACCAAAATTGTTCATCGCGATCTTTTCCAGTCCTGAATTGCATGCCCCTTTGTTCAACCTATTATCGCTCGTTCCAAACCTTCAGATGTCATGCAATTCACTTCAGTTGCTGCCACTTGAATTTACTTTCAATTCCTCAATCTTGCCTGCTTCAGTTCATTCTACCCATTCGGAGGCAACACTATTCCTTCCAAATTCTACTGATCGATCATGCTCTCTATTCCTTCGCTCAATCATGTGGCTCTAGATCTGCCTAAACAAGTGACGATTCCTTGATGCTACACAATTTCTTCAGATGTCTGCCGCTCGAGTCAGCTCCCAATGTTTTTGTCTGATCTCTCATCTCCAGATATACCTATAGCAACAACGCTGCTTTGGTGTCTCACAAATCTTTCTAGTTACCGCCTGTCACGTCCACTCAAGATGCCATCATTTGATCCTGCTACAGGCGGCGACGACTTTGCATGCAACTCCATGATCTTCATTTTTTTCATGATTGTGAACCTCTACTCGAACCGCCTCTCTATGGATGAGAAATGCTCTTCCATTATCGAACATT